TTAAAGGTGATAACCAACACCTTGAATTGGACCCGGAAGCAAACTGGGACCCAATGCAGCTGAAGCTTCCTTATACTTTTCAAGGGTAGCCCCATGTAGAGCGCATTGCAATAGTCTATATGGGAGATGACTAGGGCATGAGTGACTGGAGGGACTCCCAATCCAGAAAAGGGCGTAGCAGATGCACAACCCATAGTTGAGCAAAGGCCCTCCTGGCCAAGACTGCCACCTGTTCTTCTCGTACAGCAGCAATCAAATAATAGTTATTTTGTGGGGAGCAGTATAACTGTAGAAATGCAACTAGGATGTATGTTGTATTATCTCACATTATGAAATTAAGGATACTTGTACCTATTTTCTAACTATGAGAACCTATTCTGTGCCATCTGCTTAGTGGAACTTTAATTCCATCCCCTTGGGCACGTGCATAAACTTGTTCTTCCCACAGGAGATGGATCTGAAGCAATTGGCCAAACACACTCTGCTGGAAAAAGACAGCTCTTGCAAGGCATATTACAAGGAGTTCAGGAAGGTTAGTGAAGATGGATGTGACTTGGTACTTAGCACCAAGAAAAATAAAACTGTAGATGGTGATGCTTCAGTCTGGTTGGGCTGGATCAGAGTGTTGGACACCACGATCTCCAACTCTGCACTCCCTCTAGGTAATTGAAGCAGCTGATGTGATCCTGGAAGTCCTTGATGCTCGGGATCCCCAAGGTTGCCGCTGCCCCCAGGTTGAACAGGCAGTGGTGCAGGCTGGAACCAGCAAGAGACTGGTTCTGGTGCTAAATAAAATAGGTAAGTGTAATGCCAGCAAGACTAGGTTCTTTGTGGAAAGGAAGTGAAACCATATATGATTCAAGAACATGAGATTTAGACCTTTTCTTATTCAGAGCTTCTCTCTACAGATTCAAACTCTGCACCAAGGGAATCCAAGAAATGTAATTGGAATGAAGTGTTGAATTACACTGGCTTAATTTTGCTATTGCTTTGTTTTGATTCAGAATCATTACATTCACATGACTTAATTCAGGGCTTGGGGTGGCAGAGTTAGAGAAAAGAGTCAAAACTCAAAGTTTGCTAGATAACTGCATTTGGGCTCAACCAACTATAGAGGATTTTTTTTGCTGTTTTTTTTGCTTTTTGTTCCTGGTTTGTTCATTCACAATGAGAGTTAAGGTAGATAAGTAATGAGGTAGCGATTTTCTTTCTCTCTTTATTGGAGAAGTGACTTGGATGTTCTAATCCATATTAGTAGTATTGACTGTTTAGGTAGAAGGTGGTCATGAAATCAGTCTTGTGTCTGGGGAACTGGGGGTGGTGTTGCTTGGCCTTCTGGGTGATCTGTCTGCAGAGCATAAAATGGATTACAGTTTTGAAACGCACAAGTTTTTAAAAAGTAACTTGTCTTGTGAGCCTTTGGATACAAAAGAGCAGGTGTGGCCCCAGTGCAGCAGACTGAATTTTGTCTGGAATCCTTCACTTTCTCTTCTAATCTATTCCTGATCCAGATCTGGTATCTAAAGAGATTGTTGCAAAGTGGCTGAAGTACCTGAGGAATGAATTTCCTACGGTGGCCTTTAAATCCTCCACTCAGCAACAGAGCAAAAACCTGGTAGGTGTTGGATGGCTGCAGCGGGTTAATTAAGTCATACCTCCAAAAGATCATTTTTCCTTGGAGATCACTTTGAGAAAAGGATGGGGATGAGCAACATGCTGCTTATAGCACCCCTTGACAGTGTTTATGCCTCCCCAAAATTAAATTAATAAAAAAACTCTTGAAATATTGCAAGATCTCATGCAAGAATATCGAGCTCACCCAAGACTGCCAAAACCTTGCAAGATGCATTGGCGAGATAGTCCAGAACTTTCAGGGTTTAGAAATCTTGTGGGAATATGGCCATTAAAAAGGGTTCGTTTATGACAGTTACTTATACTAAACAAATTCTAATGTATTTTAATTTTATATTTCATTTTCCTGTTAGGGAGTATAAGGTGTATTGGTTCGGCCCTTCCTCTGAAAGTGAGCCGTCATTCATGCAGTATCTGGCCACCCCAGGGTTGGCTGTTGTAGGAGAGGTTACTGGGCCAGCCTTATTCAGGAGACTGGATTTGGTAGGAGTGACAGGAAGGATTCTAATACGTGCTTTTTATACATTGAGATCCAGGTGGCAGAAAGGGAACGGTGGGTTCTGGGAGATGGGAAACGCAGATGGGGGCATTAGATGGGGGCATCAGAGATGAGACCCAGGGACATTAAGCAGTGATTTCTTTCTCCCGTTTAGCAACAGAGCCACGTCCCTGTAACCCGAGCATCAAGTGACTTGCTAGGCAGTGGAGCCTGTGTTGGGGCAGACTGCCTCATGAAGGTGCTAGCGAACTATTGCCGGAATCAGGATGTCAGGACCACCGTCACTGTTGGAGTCGTGGGTATGCAGCATACCTCTCTTTGAGGGGTGGACAAAGTACAAGGGGATTTCCTGGAGCTGCCCTGTTTCCCAGAACAGCTTTCCTCAATGGGACACCTTCCAAACATCTGGAAGCTGCAGCTCCCGGAATTCCTGCGTAAGCTGGGGATTCTGGGAGTTGCAGTCACAGGACGCCTGAAGTGGGCCACGTGGGGGTAAGGTAGCCTAGGTCTGTCAAGAATATGGGTCTGTGGGAAAGAATGCAAATATTTTACCGACTTCCTTTCCTTCATTGTCGGTCTCCAGCTGACCTGGTATGGCAAATTGCAAAATGTTCCCCTTTTTTCATTTGTGGCGATCAGATAGAATCCTAGCAGCCTTCCTTCCGATGCAAGAAGGTCCTTTGGCCTTGGATGGAATCTAATGGCCCTTCTATCATTTCTGGGAGTTGAAGCCAGGAGATAGCTGAGGCTGTAATTCAGACAGGCAGGAATCCTAGTTGGGGAGGTAGTGTTGCCCACAAATGGGAAGGAGAGAAGCAACAGAGAGAAGACTTGGGCCACGTGGTCCTCAACTTCCTTGGGACCTTTGTGCCAGCCTTCCCCGACTACAGAGACTGACAATTTGAAGTTCAGAGATTTGGAGGTGCCCATTTTGGGAAGGATTGTTTTAGGTAGGTGGTGGTGGTGGACGTGAACCCTAGAAGTTTTTCTTCTGCCTTTTACTCCAAAGGAAAAAGATGGCGGGAGTTATGGGCAGTGATATCTTTTCTTGTGCGTTATCTATCACATAGAATGCAAAGGAAGCAGTTTAGGAAGGTAGTAGTGATCTTATGGGGGAGCTATCACCAGACTGGAAGTGTGCTTGCTGATGGATTGCCTGTCTCTATATGTCTGACTGCAGGCTTCCCAAATGTTGGCAAAAGCAGCTTGATCAACAGCTTGAAGAGGAGCCGGGCCTGCAGTACTGGTGCCACTCCTGGCATCACCAAGTATGTGCCCAATCTGAAGTGCTAATTAGAAGCGAGGTATCAAATCAGAAGTGCTGTATAGTCAATTGAGTAGTTTCGCCTTTTCACTATCAAGGAGCGCTACAGGAGATCTGCGGTCCTCCTTTGGGGATATAAACATTCAGGGATTCCCTTATATGGCTTTACCCACAGTAGTAGGAAAGATGGTTTTTCTTTTGACAACATTGTGCAGAATTGGATGTACTTGGCATGAAAGAAAGAGCCTACAACTTCTTAATTGGACTCAGATGAAGGACTGGATGGCATATATTTTTGAGCTTAGTAGGCCAGAGAAAGTTAGAGGTTGTAAAATAAGGGCACCATCTTCTGTACAAAACACAGAGTAATTTATTCACTAATTTACATATTGTCCTAATTCATAAGGTGACTTAATTAGAGTTTGTTCAGCATTTTGGGTGAGCCCTTGGGTGGAACGCTTTGGGTGGAACCCTTACCAATTGTAAACTATACTTTGTGACTTAGGATGTGTGAATTGAACCAGTTTTGTAGTTGAATAAATAACTTATGATTAAACAATGGCTAAATATGATGTATGAACTTAGCCACTTTCTGCCCATTGATTTGTTTTACCTTCTTTCCCTCTGCTTTTGAGGTGGCTCACATTAACTTTACATTTATGCTCCCAAAAAAGAAAAATAACACAAGTCTCAAAACACGTATGCATTTAAAATAAATGATTCCTTGAAAAGACAGAGTTACTGTCCAGCCTTCCTAAAAATCTCTGTTGACTAAATAGGTTTCACACTCTTCCCCTCCCTCCTCCTCCCTTTTCTCCTGAAAGCCAGAAGAGATGCAGATTGATAAGCTATGTCTGTGAAGTTGTCCTTACAGATCAGGGTATAGGATGATTTGAGTATGGATTCAACATTCCAGGAGGGGAGGGGGATTATATAAGTCTGAAGAACTCTTGTGAGAAAGAAATCATCCGCCATCCTAGAAGTCTAACATTCTAGTTCTTGGTTCAGTTGTTTTAGCTTTGGGACAACAAAGAAATATAGCATGAGGCTTTAGAAAATTAACTTTATAAGTAGAAAGGCTGGCATTTGAAGTGATTGCTCTCATTTATTTATCTCCCGCTCCCTCATTTTTAGATGCCTGCAAGAGGTGCAGCTGGACAAGCACATAAAGCTCCTAGACTGTCCAGGGATTGTCATGGCTTCTCCCACCTCAGATGCTGCCATGATTCTGCGAAATTGCATCAGAATAGAACAACTGGCTGACCCTGTGAGTCCTGTGGAGGCCATCTTGAAACGATGCAACAAGCAGCAGGTATGGGTGGTCCTGAGAGAATGGATAGGGCACGTGGCTGTGAGAATAAACTGGACAATTATGAAGGTGGGGCTCTGAAAGAATCCCAAGCTTGTTTCAGAGACTACAAATAGGTTGTAGCAAAAATGATAGTTCCGAGATAAAGAACTATAAATCTAAAGAATTTTAAAGCAATGCTAATTTAGATGAAGCTATTTTTCTCCTTGAAATCACATTTAAAAAGGATGAATCTGCTTGCTAAATGACATGCCTTCCAACATAACTTTGGCCAAGAATCTTAATTTGGGATGTTTACTTTAAATTGTTATCCTTTGGCTAGATTCACACAAGATGCTACATGGTTGTTTGGTTTGTGGTTCAGTGTGTTGGGCAATCTCAGGCAGTGAGGCTAATTTGCTAAACTATGGTTCAGTTAGACCTGAATCAACATATTGGGGGAATATAGCCTTTAAATTGCCATTAGCGTTGCTTTTGCTGCAAAATATGATCTTGTCTATTCTCTGGAAGTTTTAAAAAACAGCAGTAGGCATTAAGGAGATCATTCAACAATTGTTTCTGCTTAATTGGGCAACACCTTTAAAGCATGTGCGTGGGACTGGCATTGTAATACAACTGCCTACAGAAGATATGTGGCAGATATCAATTTGGTAGAGGTGTTCACCTTTACACATAGCAGGACATGTTCTTGTGGCATGTACACTATCTAAAAACAAGGTAAGTTTTCCTTAAAAACATGGTTTCTTTCATATGCACAGTGGGGCAAAAAAGTATTTAGTCAGCCACCAATTGTGCAAGTTCTCCCACTTAAAAAGATGAGAGAGGCCTGCAATTTTCAGCATAGGTATACCTCAACTATGAGAGACAAAATGGGGGAAAAAATCCAGAATCTGGTGTCCTTCGACAGCTCTTTGGTCTTGGCCATAGTGGAGTTTGGAGTTCTGGTGTCCTTCGACAGCTCTTTGGTCTTGGCCATAGTGGAGTTTGGAGTTCTGGTGTCCTTCGACAGCTCTTTGGTCTTGGCCATAGTGGAGTTTGGAGTTCTGGTGTCCTTCGACAGCTCTTTGGTCTTGGCCATAGTGGAGTTTGGAGTTCTGGTGTCCTTCGACAGCTCTTTGGTCTTGGCCATAGTGGAGTTTGGAGTTCTGGTGTCCTTCGACAGCTCTTTGGTCTTGGCCATAGTGGAGTTTGGAGTTCTGGTGTCCTTCGACAGCTCTTTGGTCTTGGCCATAGTGGAGTTTGGAGTTCTGGTGTCCTTCGACAGCTCTTTGGTCTTGGCCATAGTGGAGTTTGGAGTTCTGGTGTCCTTCGACAGCTCTTTGGTCTTGGCCATAGTGGAGTTTGGAGTTCTGGTGTCCTTCGACAGCTCTTTGGTCTTGGCCATAGTGGAGTTTGGAGTTCTGGTGTCCTTCGACAGCTCTTTGGTCTTGGCCATAGTGGAGTTTGGAGTTCTGGTGTCCTTCGACAGCTCTTTGGTCTTGGCCATAGTGGAGTTTGGAGTTTGCACAATTGGTGGCTGACTAAATACTTTTTTGCCCCACTGTATGTAGCTTTATACATATTTGTTTTTTTTAAATGTATCAGGGAGCCTTTTGTCCACTGAAACTAGTGTTTGAAATGGATATTATTTGGTCCTACGTGTGTACCCAGAAGTCAGCTTTGCTGCACTCGTGGTACTTCCTAGGTAAATAGGTATAGAACTGCAGCTTCAATTGATTAGTCAGACTGATTAAATCAACTAATAATTACAGCTCTAGCAAAATGGTAACCATCCTGCTTAAAAAAGTGAGTAGAAAATAATTAAACCCCCATTTCTGTTTGGTTTGGTTTTGGCACCTTTCAGGAATCACCCGCTGACATTTGGCAGCATCTCGGAAGCACTCTTTCTGATTTTCAGGGGGAGGGGGAAGAAGAGGGTATCATCACGTCGTGGCTCTGCCCGGTGCAGTCTTTGCTTGATAAATAAGTAAATAATAGGTCCCGCTGCTACAAACCTGACCTGTCTCTGAGATGTAGGTAAACAGAATTGGCAGGATGGGGAAGAAAACTTTAATCGGCTTCTAACTCTCATCTCTTTCTCCTCCCTGAATTGCCTCGACCTAAAGATTATGCAGCACTTCAGCGTGCCGGATTTTCAGAACACCACGGAGTTCCTAGCATATTTGGCCAAGAGACAGGGCAAGCTGAAAAAAGGAGGGATACCAGACCATGAGAAGGCTGCCAAAGCAGTGCTAAATGACTGGACGAGGTGAGTGGAAGACAGGATTTAAAAAAAAGGAAGAGAGATCTAGAGCTTTCATCTCTTGCAGGAATTGTCTTCGATGTAAGCCTCTTCCTTCCTTGCTTTTTGTTTTGGTTACCTGGCAGTTCTAATTCCATTGGGAATTGAAATCAGGAAAAGAAGAAAATAATGGGGTCTACTGCAAAAGTGTTTTTGGGGAGCAGGGGTTGGGAAACTGTTCCTATAAAGCTGGGGTCAACAACATGGCATCCAGCCGTCCTTTGCCCATGATGCCCCAACATTAATTTAGGAAGTAGTCAGAACCTTGCACAAGGTCTTGTAACTTGTGGCTCTCTGTCTGTCTGTCTGTCTGTCTAGGGTTTGGAGTGTGAAAAATTACTGATCCTTGCTATAAAGACTGCAATCTGTTTTTTTACTTTGTCTCTTCTAGTGGGAAAATCAGCTATTTCACACATCCACCTGAGATACACACACTTCCTACTCACATCAGTGCTGAGATTGTGGCAGAAATGGGCAAAGCCTTTGATTTTGAGGCATTGGAGCAAGAGAACGAGAAGGCTTTGGCTAGTAAGTGGTTGGGAAAATGGGACTGCTTTCCACAAGATTTTGCCACCATACGATTCTTGTTTTGCCTGTCTTTCCTTTAACATATAGGAGTCTGATATCCAGCCCAACAGCTCTGCTTTTGTATTGCATGTCATCTCTTCTGCAAGAGGCTGACAAAAGTGGAGGACATTCTGTAGCTTCCACTGATCCCAAATATTTCTCTTCTGCAATTCAACGTAATTCTCCACATTCTTTCTAGAGCACAGAGTATCTGTCCAGTTATTGTAGTAATGCCATAGCAATGTAATTATACAAAGCTGCAGTGCATAAGGTATTCTCACATATAGGTTATCAGTATCATCTTCAAACAGCTATTTCCCTCCCACCATTTCTCCTTCCCTTTTGTAGCAGCTGTTGGGCCTTTCTCAATTCTCTCCATACTGGAGTTGGCACACTTTGATTTGTGGACCACTACAGTAGCATCTTTGATCCTTGAACTCAGAACCTGTATCTGAGCCAAACATTAACTGTTCTGCTGGTGCTGATGACTACTACTCTTGCCACTCAAGACTGACTGTAGTTCAAGAACTCTGAATGATGTATTTCTTTTTGTAGATTTAATCTCTGGTCCTGTGGGTATCACCTTGGAGGGTTCTGGCCTAACCAGTGGAGCAGAAATTGAGATGGCGGAGGAAGAAGGGCTGCATATTACAGAAGAAGAGGGTACTAAGATGGAAGAAGATGAGAATCATGAGGTATGTGCCCCAACTTTATCTGTGGACTATCATTTTGGCAAGTGTCCAGGCCCCTGCAGTTCTGACAGGCACTGAATGAAAAACAACCAAAGGGGAGAAGCTATCTTAATGTATATTTGTTCTATGTATCCTCTATAAAGCTCTTCATGGCATAGGACCTGATTATTTGTAGAACTTCTGACACCAATTTATCTGCCTCTCCAATAAGATCCAACAGGGTTGGTTTGCTCTTGTTTCTGCTTCTTAAGCAATGTCATTTTATGGGACCCAGAAAACAGGGCTTCTCTGTTGCAGTGCCTACCCCGTGGAACAGAATTCTCCCCAAGATTCAGATGGCCCTGACCCTACCTGCCTTTTGCAAAGCCTTGAAGGCCTGGGTTTTTTTTGCCCCAGGCACTGAGTCAGGAGAATTTGTAAACCTGTTTGGATTGTTGAATCGCTTCTAGTGGTATTTACTTTATGCCTTATTATATTTTATGTTTGTTTATAAATTTTCTAGTGTTGTTTTAATGCCCTGATAGTTACTTTATTTTGTTTAACCATGCCATATTTGTATATTTGATGTAACCAAACTCTTTCCTTTTTCTGTGCTGGTCACTGACAAAAGTTAATACAAATCTACCACTCTGTCACTATCAAGTGGGCAATATAAATGAATGCATTTGGGGGCCAGTTTAAATCGGGGGGCCTTCTTCTTCTTCTTCCCTCTAGTTTGGCCCAATGACTATAGAGCTGAAGTCCAAGGGCAAGACCCTAACAGAAGCAGCAGAGGTGGTGCCCAGAGGGCCTGACTTAGGGGAGATCTCAGCCTTGGACCCCCTGTATCAGGGACAGGGCCTCCGGGCAGCGAGCAAGAGACGCAAAAAGCGGCAGAAGCGGGCAGGTAGGGAAGCTGGTTTTCTACTTACCTCCCATTGTGATTCCACGTGTTTTTTCTTCCTTTCTTGGCATCACCTAGCCAATCAGATGATACGGTGCCCTTCTTGGGGGTGTGTGGCTTAATGACCACGCCTAGGTGCAGAGGGAAGGGGGGATGGCCTTGAAGGGCAGGAGGAAGAGCTGCTACCAAGGCAATGGTCAGATAAAGGGGCCCAAACCCGGGCCAAGAAAGTAACTTGAGTAGACTTGTCTCAGGCCCCTCCCTAATTTCCACAAAGAGGGAGGGAGAAGCATATTCAGACTTGCAAGATTTTGTTACTGTAAAAGTAGTACTAACTTACACGGCATTGGTTCCTTAGTCTGGTCTACCTTGAAGGGTTGACATTAGGCCATGATTTCCCCAACACCCTCTTTTTTCCCTTACAGGGAACAGTAAGGAAAAAGTGCTCAGGGGAACAGTCCCCTGGTTTGTTCGTCTGTTTCCCTGTAGAGGGAAAGGTTCATAAGCTTTGTTATCTGTAATTTCTAGTTCTTGTGTTTCCTGCCTCCATTTTTATGGCAGTAGTGATCAGAAGGGAGTTCAGTAGCTGCACGTTGCCCAATGGTTTTAAAACGCAGAGAGGGCTATCTAATTCAAGAGTGACTTCCCTATGTACTTAACTACCATGAACTTTTTCTATTTTTGTCAACTGCCTGAACATGGTTTAATTCACCCCCACAAGCCCCTCATAGGGGCATCAAGGCTTCCCTCTTAACTGCACATTTTAAAAAGCGGGACAGAGGTTCCTGCAGAAACCGTTTTGATTCTAGCCCTGTGTCTCCTCCCTTTTTCTACAGACAAAATTGCAACCAAGCTCTCTGCAAGCCTGACAGCAGCTATGAATTTCAGCTTGACAGATGACTGAGGAAAGCTGGATGCTGGGCTGCTACTTGATCTACCTCAGGAAGACTGTTCCCAGCATGGAACCAGTAGGAGAAAGGATGCAAAGGGGTTCCCATCATACCCATGCATCATTGAGGAATGGACAGCCTAGGCCCTATGAAGAACTAATGAGCTGTTTTATCAAGAAATTTTATTGAACAGGTTAAAATCAGACAGTGTTAAAATAAGGGTGTAATTGCATTAGCATTTTCTCAGATTTGGCTCTTAGTATTACAGCAGATTCACAAAAAATAAAGTCTCAGTGTCAAATTTGGTTGAACAGAGGTACAAGCAGGAGTGCAGTTCTGCTCTTCTAAAAGAGCATACATGAATGCCATTCCTGGGGACTGTGACTCAGGGGAACACCTCAGTTCTAGTCAGAGTTGCAGAAAGAAGGCTACTGGGCCAAATCATGTACAAGGGGAAATCCTAGAGTTAATTAAATTTAATTTAAAAAACTCTTTGTAACCATTTTGATCTCTTGATCTATTTTCTTGCAAGCCAGGGACAGAAAATCAAAAGTAGCTGCATTAAGAAAATGGGGCAGGCCATATCAAACCCAGGACATAATAATATTTGGCTCAACTCTTGCCTGCTCAGGTTGCTTAATATCTCAGAGATTTTAGGATACTCATAGGGAAAATCAAGTAAAGGAGTCCTATATCCTGGGCTGCTTATTCCCTTACTCAAAGAAATATGATTATTGACCAAAACCCTGCCAGAAAAGACGCTGCTTCCTCTGGCTGTATTGGTGCACAGTGACGTGATACCTCTTTGGCTTTTCTTGCGGGCATTGGGGCTCAGGCTTCATAGCGTGTGGAAGGGTCTGGGTCTTGTAGAGACTGCCGGCTCCGAAGGTTGTACCGTGGAGTCTGTAACAGGCAAGGCAAACCTGATATAGAAAATATCCACAGGCCTACTTTATTATTAATTTAACTGCAAGCTGTCCAGAGTCACGAATGTCAGATGGATGGCTATGTAAATTTAAATAAATAAATAAATAAATAAATAAATAAAT